TTTTTGAATCTTGCATTTTCAGTGTGTGTGTGTGTGTGTGTGTGTGTGTGTTATTTCTTGTCCCTTTAAGTCACCTTATAAGTAGCAGAGTCATTCAGGAAACAAGCAAGTTTTTCTAAGACCCAAAATACAACTTATCAGTTAGCTATTTTAAATAAAATATTTAAAGACCTTGGAGGACTATTATCCATTAAAATTAAGACATATATAAACTCTGCTTTATATAGAACATTTTGAAAAGCTGTCTTTTAAATCCTTCTTCCAAGTATACAGGAAATAAACTATCATCTGCAAATTGGTCATAAAAGCAATTGGTACAGAAGATCCTTGGGTACCAAAACTTGGGATTCATCTGTTAAAGTACCTTAGTCAACAAATTAAAATACTAGAGAACAAACATTTTCCATAAATGTTGAAAACAAATGTGTTTTCTGTATACCTCTTGAGTTGACAAGAATTGTCCAGACCTCAATGATTCTGGCACTCATGTTTATTGAGTGCTTGCTAAATACTGTCCAGAGGTAAAGCATGGAGTAGGGGCGGGGATGAGTGGAGAGGATGAAGGAGCTAAAGGGAAATATCTTCCTGGGTGCTGTAACATAAGAAGACTGAAAAGTTTTACAGATCTGAGAATTTTTATTTTGAATAACATCATTTGTTGAATATCAGATACATGAATGTTACCCAGTTTTACTACTTAGTCATCTGAGAAAATTGAAATACAATTTTTTGTAATTGTAAACTGCAAACACATTAAATTGTTACCGAGTACCATTGATCCTCTTTGGCTATGTAATAAGTCAACCTTACACTTGATAACTTAGAGGCTGCTGTCTTCCTCTTCCTTGTGCTCACTTTAGTGAGCCTCGTCAGACAGTGACCAAAACTGCTGAAAAATCAAGAGGGGCCTCATTCACTTGGGAGGTACTGGCTGCTGGCAGCTGGCTGCTGACACCTCTGCTGAGATAGCCAGGTGCTCCTCAGGACTCCTGGGGCAATGATCCTCCTCCTGTGGCTCCTTTACTTCTCCACAATAAGCAGAAAGAAGGTGGTAGGAAGGAAGAGAGGGAGAAGAGAGCAGGATTAGGAAGGAAAGGAAAAAGAAAAGACACAAACTTTTTTTACTCCTTCCTCCTTCTTTCCTTCTCTTCCATCTCTCCTCTCTCCTTCTCTTTTTCTCCTTTCCCCTCTCTTCCCTTCCCTTCCTCTCTCCATTCAAGAAAATCTTTGTTTCATGGAAAACTAAGTTATTTTCTACAAAAAAAGCCTTAATTCAAACTGAAATTTCTTCTTTATTACCTTAGAATCATAAGGATCCTGCACAGAATCTGGTATATAAAAATTTATAAGTAAATGTCAATATATTGACTTTTTTATTGTTGAATGTCTATAGGAATGATAGGGGATCATGTATTTTAATAATGTCACCATGTCCTTAACAGAAAATATGTAAGGAATATTTAGTTTCCAGAAGGCTCTTAAAAAAGATTCAGCAATAAATTCTTAGCAGTATTAAATATCATTCTTACATAGGTAGAAGGGATATGGGTAAATTTAGAACACTTGGAAGGGAGCTAATATTTATCAAGCATTTACTTTGTTCCAGAAAATCCCCCTGGGAAAGCCTGTTAGATAGGTTTTATTATACTAGTATACAGATGTGAGAATTGAGGGGCAGAGAGTTAAATAAATTGTCAAGGTCACATAGTTGTAAATACTCAGAACTAGACTTAAAAGACAACTGCTCCAAATTTGTGCTGCACCACAAAATGTAAAGGATACCTACACCCTTCCTGAAAATGAATCAATTATTTTTTGCTTTTTCCAATCCTAGAGTGGATCAGAAATAAACATAAATTTATGTGGCAAGGCGATTTTGCAAAGCAGGAGTCAGGTATTTTTGCAATTTCTCTGTATTGAAATAGAATAGAATTTGTAGAAATGAATTTTTAGATCTAAACTTTAGGTTGTCCTATGTCACTATCCCTCTTTGCATATTTGATGTATCAACAATCCTTCCCAGAAATATAATAATTCTGCTGACTAAGAGAAAACCAGGATCATCAGCCAAAATCAGAATCACACACACTCTGCTTTTCTTCCTGGATTTAGTCATGCCCATTCTGTTTGTCAAAGTTCTCACTTTGTGACATCCAGGAAGGTCTTTTGAGGTGATGTATGCAAGAGTTACCCACAGCAATTCTTTTCCTCATGCAATAATTAAAACTAAGAAAAACAAAGCCACTAGTCATATTTGACCATAGATCTTGTCATACCTTCGGGAACTGAGGGATTAAGCGAATGTGTTACACCCAGAGGCAAGTATGGTAAAATGAATGAAGGATCTTATACACTTAAAATTGTCTGAATTGGGTCCAATCACACAGAGTAGATTTTAGCTGACCACTTATTTAATTCCAAGTGATTTCACATATGAGAGAGAGTTTCAGGTGGATAAGACAATGAAAATAGTACTTAGGAGTCATTATGAGGAACCTAGAAGACATCCCTAGAAGACATACATTAGATTACTTTTCCCCAGATACAGTAGTCCTTGAGCTTGCCAGTGGCATAATCAAGTAGTAATGATAGAAATAGTGACCAGTAGCTGTCATTGGGATACTTGCACAGGTTGCACTTTGGTAATACACTGTAATGTATTTTTTCTTCTTTACAGAATGAGCATGACAACAAGAATTGCAAAGATATTAGAAACAAGGTCTTATTCTATGGTCTGTATATAAACTTAACTTTAAATCTTGCTACTGGGAGAAACAAAGACCTTGAAGTGATGATGAAGCAAAAAAGAACTAGTAATATTTATTTTCTCTCAAAACTTCTATTTTACCACCTAAAGGTCATTTAATATGCTTTCATCTATTATTATCATACATTTATTCAATAAGTGTTTGATGTAACAAATTTTAGTATAACAAATTTTAGAGCTCAAACATTTATGATAATTTAGTTTGAGTGTTTCCTAAAATTCATGGGATCCCACCCAAAAAAAGGTACTATTTGAGAAAAGAAAGAGACCACTTAAGTTCAATGTTTTCTTAAAATTTAGAGCCATTTTGTTCTTCTCTATATTGTTGGAAAAATTGTCACCCATCTTCTTGAAAGTATAACAGATTTTTCCATAACTTGTATCTTTTTGTTTCTTTCTCTCTTTCTGTTATATAGCTATATCAATATGTAATAATAGAAAATTCATTAATCTAACTTATATTTTATATATAATGAGAGAGCAAAAGCTACAGGAAAACCTAGGTTAGATATAAATGTTAATAATATTAGTACTTACTAAAATAAATACATGCCAATATAAGTATATATGTTAATGCAATTGCAGTGTGTGTGTGTGTGTGTTTATATTAGTTAGTCTTCTTCTTTTCCTTTCTTGCTTGTCATAAGAATGGGATATTTATATGAAATTACTATTTAGTACTAAAAAGACAGTAGGGCTTGTTTAGTCTCAATTACTCATCTGTTTAAATACCCATTGTGTGTTCAGTGCTGTCCTAAAAACAGCAGTAAACACTGTCCTTGTCCTCATGGAGATTACTGTGTAATTGAAATAGATCGACACTAACACCATAACTACTTGTGTATAGATTCCATAAATTCAATAGTCACTTTGGTGAGAAAATATTACAAAGGAAAAAGACAAGATAAGCAAGGAATCTCAATCTGGTAGGAGGAAGGGTCAGGATGCATGGAGGAAGTGAGAGGAAGGATGGGAGTTATTATGAAAGTGAGGGGTGTGTGTTATAGGATGAAGAAGTTGTATAAGCCAAAGCCCTTCCTTGTTGGGTTACCTGAAGACAAGGAGAAGAGAATAGCTTAATCAATACCTACTATGAGCCAGGTAGTACACTACAGGGCAACTTGGGTCAGGAAAAGTTACTAATTCAATGCCATAATTCTGTGCCACACATTGGCGATACAGAGATGGATGAAATACAGGTGTTACTCTAGGGGAGTTCTCAGAATACTAGGGTGAAAGGACCTACAAACAAATAATAGCAATGCAATATTTGCTATAACTCAGACATCTAGAAGATGCTATGGAAACATCAAAGTGAAAAACAGGAGCTCTGCTTGCAATGGCAAGAAAAACTACATGAAAAAGGTATTGCTTGAGCTTAGTTCTAAAGGATGAGTAATTATCTTCCTATAGGCAAAAATGAGACAAGTTCCTTACAGGTAGAGCCATAAAAAATGGCATGGACCCAAGAACAAACATGCTGTGTTAGGGAACTAAATGCCTGACTGCAAAGAATGTGAGGAAGAAGTAAAGCTGAAGTAATAATCAGCAGTGAGATGAGACAGAACTTCATTAGCCATGCTTAGCAGCATCTAGGAAATAAGGACTATATTAGTCAGCTTTGTGTTACTGTAACAACTACCTGAGATTATGAACTTAAAAAAAGGAAAGGTTTATTTTGACTCAGAGTTTCAGAGCTTTCAGTCTATGACCAATTGGCCCAGGTGTTTTGGGCCTATAGTGGCATAGTCTGTGATGTGGGAGCACATGGCAAAAGAGGCTATTCACCTCATGGCTGGGTATGAAAAAGAGAGAAAAAGGAGGGGCTTGGATCCTAAAACCATCTTCAAGGACATATCCCTGATGATCTGCAACTTCCCACTAGACCCACCTCCTAAAGTTCCACCACCTCCTAAGAGTGACAAACTGGGGACCCAGTCTTTAACACATGGCCCTTGGGGGAGGGTCATTTGAGGTCCAAACTATAGTAGGAAGCTAGTTAAGAATTGCAGATAGGGAAGCCTTATCCTTTTTGTGTTTTCTATAGATGCCAGGACCTATTGATATCACAAAGGATTTACTGGAGCTTGGAGAAAGTTGAACTGATGCATCAGCATGAGAAAATGAGGGCCCTCTCTGTAAGCCAGAGAGGAGCAGAATTAAGTTTTTGAATAATGTAGAAGTATAGAAAAATACAATTAATTTTAACTCTATAAGAAAGAAACAATGTGAGTGAAGTTTAGAAATCTTTTATTTTTTTCTACCCCCCCATAAGTGTTATAAACAAATGAGCCACATAGTTAAAAAATAAAGTGCAATTTTAATATAGTGGATGTGATGTATATATACTTTTAACAAAGTGTTCAAAACCTTTAAAAGATACATTATCAGCATGTAAATATCTTAGCAATAGTATATATTTTTGGATGACCAAATGATGAATTTGTATTTAAATATGTCAAATATGTTTTCGAAACTTTCAGAGTATAGATTGATGTTAAGTTTGCTTTTTACTTAGAAAAACTAAAAAAAATGCATTCCTATAAAAACTATAAGTCAGTAATTACCTGTTTCTTGTCTTCATATATTCTAAACAAGTATTTAATGACTGGATTACAGTTGTGCTAATAAAATAGTTAATAAATAGCATACAAAATCAAAATTTAATGAGTAAGTCATGACATTATGCCATACTAAGAAGACACCAAATGTCTAAAATCATAGGAAGAGAATATATTATTCCTTATTGAATTTAAACATTTAGAAATTCCAAATAAGGAAATATATTCTACACATTATTGTATGACACACCCAGGTTTCTAATATATATATATATAACTTAAATAGCATACAGGGGTCAAGAGTTAAAAAATTCTGTAACATATTATCCAAGTAAACACACTAAAATATCTTCTATTCCATGGGCAGAATGAGAATAAGAATGTCTCTCCCCCAACAGCATTCCAACAAAACATTCATTGTTAAATTCAAAGCCTTTTCACACACACTATAGGAATGGACTCTAGAAATACAGTGCAGAAGTCACCTTCAATTCAAGACACTTTGAAAGATCAACCACCAATGACTCCTGGCTCACAAAATAGTCAGTTTCCAAGGATTCCAGTAATATAGCAGATAAAATAAAAACAAGTAGCAAGAAATACTATGCTAAATACTTAATAAACTGAGCAAAAAAAAAATATGAGGGGTAAACAGATTTCCCTTTTCCTTTCAAAGCAGGGAATCCGCACAGAAAGCTACTGGGGGGAAAAATCAACCACTTCTTGTCTTCACTGGTCCAGAGACTCTCTTGGAAAACTTCTCAGCTGAAAGCTGGACAGTCCTTCCAATGCATGTTCCGTTCTCTTAATTTTTGTTTCCACTGTTGAGAAAATAATTATATCAGTTTAACCAGATTTTCATACTTTAGTCTACTCTACCCTATTTTCAAAACACAGTGCCTGGAATGTTGATGAAAATAATAGTAAGATAAATGTAAAGGGTGGAGGGAAAAAAATACATCTTTCAATAATGAGCTTTGTATTATGGCTCATGCAAGGGTGATCCAGGTTTTCCCAGTTCCTTCCAGAAAAATTTTCCCTTCTTAACAACCTTTTAATTTTAAGCATGGTCTGGAATGTGGTACCCAAATCCTATAGAGAGAATAAGGAAGGACCTTGTGAAGTCTACCTTTTCCTGAGAAAAGATTAAGAAACTGTAAAGATCAAAGGGGCAAGTACCCGTCCAAAATTTTCTGGACGATTTTCTTGATCAAAGGAGCCTCAGGGTCCAGACAGACTTCCTTTCCGTTCTTCAAGGAGGCTCTACAGAGAGAAAAGGAGGATGCAAGCCTAAGTTATAGGAGCAAAAGACAAGGCTGGAGGAGTCCCTTCTTGCTAAGGTCACAGCGGACACCGCAGCGCAGGAGAACTTACACCACTTCCACCTTGGAGCACTGTGGGCCTGCGGCGATCACCTGGAGATTAGTGACCATTTTGGGGTGAACTCCGGGCGTGGTGGATAAACAAACGCAGCGCAGTTCTCTCACCACAGCCGCTACTGGACCAGCTGGGGAAGAAAGAGTCGTTATCGAAAGGTGCTGGGAGAGCCCTCACCCCCACCCGGCCCAGATGCAGAGGTTGGGACACGCGGTCTTGCTGGGGTGCCTCTGGTGTGTCCCGAGCTCTCACCGTTAGCAAGGGGCGCTGGCGGCGTCAGCAGCAGCAGCAGCGCCAGCAGCGCGCAGAGTGACCGGGAAGGGCGGGGAAGGCGGGGAGAGAGGCTGGGCCGGAGACTCATCATCGCGGACAAAAGAGCGCAGCGAGGGAGCGCGGGTTCGTAGCGTGGAAGAGGCGCGGAGATTTGAGGCTCCAGAGCACTGTGACTTTCTCGAGTCCTTTGCACTCCTTTTATCTGCATTCATCCCTTCCCCCAGGAAGGAAATTCAAGTTGGGATGATAGGGAAATTCCCTGCACACGGGGGTCGGGGATTGGCGGAGGGGGCTTGTGGAGGGGGGCCTAGACCAGGCGAATTGGTAAAGAGGGTGCCTGGGAGGAGCTGCCAGCACCGGTTTGGAAAGGACTTGGTAGCCCCGCCCCGCAGTGGAGGGAGCTACTCCTCCCTCCCTACACAGGGAGCGATCTTTTGGGGACCTCGTTCCTGGGTAACCTCTTTCTACCTAGGGCAGATGCCTCTGCGAAGGCTCCATCTAGAGAGGAAGACTGGAACTAAAGTAGCGGAGATTTGGCTTTAGAAAATTTTCGGTAGATTTTAAATTATTATTATTATTATTCAGGAAATGTAATCTGTGATTAGAACTGCGCTAAACCGAAAGACCTTTCTCTCCTTTCAGGTAGGTCATTATAAGCTTCCTCAGATTACTTAAGGATTCTCTGGAATTCAGTCAGCTTTAGAAACCAAGATGAATGTGTTTCTTCTCTACTTCTGCTTCAAGTAAGTGGCAGGAACTGGCTTCAAAATCAACTACTTACTGGAAATCCTGTACGTGTAAGTTCAGCAAGTATATGCGTTTTGAGGTGGTTTAACAAACAAAAATCTTCAAAACTCACATGCAGGAAATTGCCATAGAAGATGACACCTCGCTTCTAGCAGTTCAACATATGCTTGAATTAGAAGAGGTTTTGGTCTTCGTGGGGCTGCTGCGGTGTAGGGTGACTGAGGTCTGAAGCCAATACCAGAGATCCACTGTTCTGGCTCTGGCTCCTGGGCCACGTGTGTATGTGCATATGTGATTTAACACAATTTGGAGAAGCTATGGGAAACTGATGAATTTACGAAACTCCTGTGGAAGCTTGATCTTTGAATCAATTTGGCATCAAGACAGAGTCCACTCTAATTTCCCACAAACACCTTCATGGGATGGGGAGGGGGTGCCTCTCCCACAAGCTTGTGGAACCTTCCAGCTTCATGACCAGTGGTGAGCTAGGCTCTTTCCAATACCTGGTCCAGAGCTGAGAGTTGTCTCCCCAATATCAAGTGGTAAAATAACTTTCAGAACTGGGGTTTTAATGACCAGACCATCACTCCATGGCAGTTTTACGTATGATATTATGTGATGCATAGGCTTTCTTTCATGGACAACCAACTAAATTCTCTTCTGGATTGTTCTCAAGACCCCTGACCTCACAGTAGGCCAGCAAAGGCAATCAGCAAACATGATGGCAATCAGAAACTAGTCATGGAATGAAACTCTTACTTGTCCCCTGTGAACTTGGGGAATTTTATTAACTCCTCCACCCATCTTTCTTGGAATAACAGCACTTCCATTGCTGAGCAAGAAAGAGTTGTCATTTCTGTTTGGAACTTTTATTCTGGAAGGAAACTTAAGTATCTGGCTTAGGATGGGAAGGAGGTTTGATCTTCTCTGGGAGGGAAGCTAAGTGGGAAGTTCTCTGTCCTGCACAGCTTCCTGATACCATCAGCATCAACCCTGACTCAGCTAGTGTAATCCTTCATCCTTCTGGGGAGTGGTGATCTGTAGAAAGCAGCCTGTGGATTTATTGTATCAACATTTTAGAGATTAGAAGGTATCTAAAGATGACAGATAAGCCTCACTCAAGTGGCTAAGACAAAACTTCAAAAACAAAACTAGTGATCTTGAGCAATTAAATTCATTTTAACTACAAGGAAGAAATCACACTATCATAAGACTGTGGGGGAAGAAAGTTTAATGACCCAGGTTATTGAGTTTTTAAGTGTGTGTGTGTGTGTGTTTAGGTTAGTTCCAAATTATTTTAAATTCAAGTGATCATGTGAATTAGTTATGACACTAAATGATAAATTCAGTTAGAAATCATGGAAAGAGATTGCCAGTTCCACCTTTCAGTCTTATGGATTTACATGCTTCATCTGATTGGCACTCTGAATCAACTCACCATGGATTGTTTACAGAATATAAAAAGAAAAAAAAACTGGCACAAGCAGTTAAAAGAAAGTCCCCATAAGAAGTGGGCTGTTCGGTTGTCCAACCTTATCAGGAAGCAGTATGTAACTCAACCTAGCTTCTCATTGAAATTGCTTTTGCCCACAGCCACGTCAGGCTCCTGTCTAGGCGTCTTTGATGTTGCTCTTGTACAAAGACAATTAGGAATGTGGATGTCCAAAGATCACTTGAGACTGAGAATGAAAGCACTAAGAATTAGTGGAGACAGAGCACTTTAAAAGCAATTGTGTTTCTATCGCAAATTTAAAAGTGATGCCATTTGTCTTACAGGCATTGTATCGGGTGGTAAAGAAAGACTCTGCTATTTTTCCCAATGACAATAAAATAACCCACAAAATGACATCATTATCCTGATAACCTGGAAGATTTACTGTCTGTCAAAGGCAGTCTGGTTTTAGTCATAATACCATGGAGTAATATAATATGAATGAAATAAATATAATGTAATGTAATATGAATGAAAACACGAATGGTTAGCAACTGTTAAGGTTCTTCCATACTCATGATTTCTTGAGCCTTACATCAATTCTTTGAGGCAGATAAGAGAAAATCTCTTCTCCAGTAATCAGGTACAGAAAGTAAGACCAGAGACAGAAGTAAGAAGTAGAAAATTCAGGATTAGAAGTAACAGCATTGGGGAATCTGCTATAAAACATTTTTAATGGTTTCCAGATTACAAACCACTTTCCTCACAGTCACTACACATACCCCCTGGGAGCTCTCCACAGTCTGGTCAACCACTTTATTGTATTGCCCCACAGTCATCATATTTTAAACTATTGAAATTCTCAGTCTATTCACTTCTGTCTTTGGGGCCACAATGATGTCAAAGGTCCCAAAGACTTCCAGGTTACCCAGCTAGAAACCATACTGTTTTCTATATCCTTCACCTTCTCCAAGACTAATCTTTTATGTTTTCAGGTTTTACTTCCCTATTTATTCACTTGGAGATGGAGATCAAACTATGGTCCTTATGGATGCTAGGCAAGCACTCTACCACTGTGCTTCACCTTCAGCCATTTGAAATGTATTTCCCCTTTAGTCTTTGAACATCTAATGTTCTTATTATAACTACCTCATAAGTCTGAGCTTAGTTATTCATTAATTGTTTTTTCCTCCTTCAAGACAACTATAAACTCTAAAATCAGAATATATATATATATATATATATATATATATATATATAGTAAGTTCTAAGTTCAGTAGTGAGCAGTATAGGAGCATTTGATGATACATGATGATAACAGCTTGTTATTTTACAGTATTCTTTACCAGTATATCTGAAAGCTAAGGAGGAAAGGATAGGATTATTCTACTTTTTGGAACTCCACTATTTTGATTGGTTTTCTCTACGTTGGAAATGGTTTCTTGGTAATTCTTAGAGAAAATTCAAATAATATGTTCAGCCATTGGAATCTGAATTATTCAAAAGAATTTTTAGAATCCAGAAAGATATTTGATATTAAAAGAAAGGAAATTATACTACTAAATCTTTACTAAATTGAGAATTTTCTGTGACATAGGGATTGTGACTAGAAGAAATTCTGATTAAGTTATATTAAATTGAATGTTAGCAATATGGGAATGTCATTCTTCACTGATCTCTTCCAACAAACCAGAAGCCTTTAATTATAAGATTTAGCATCTGGTGTAGGCCTTTTCAAATATTTCCTCAAGTTTCTATTCTCCTTTATATCCATTACGCTTTACAGTACCTTTAAGAAATACTCTACAAGTGCCAATAATTTAGAATGTTGATATATCAATGTCTGGTTAAGCATAGCAAGGAATTCAATATAAGAAAGAAAATGAGAGTTTGAGCAGAAGAGTTACTTGCACACAAAAGAAAAGGGAATCTCTAGTTATCTTTGGTCTAGCAGCACAATCCTAAAATTATTTTTTGTTGACAATAAAAAATGATACACAGAAAATATTAGGATGAAAATTCTGTATGTTTTCAAGTCTTGGGCTTCTCAGAAATAGGAAGCATTTATGTCTTATTTCATAAATTTGACCTGGATTAAGCAAAAAATAGAAAGAAAATCCTTTTAGTATTAACTATTTCAAATAATTTTGAGAAGGCATTTGTATGATAATGTGCTTAGACTTGTAACATTGTGCTTAGTAGTGACCATTTGCTCTGTTGCTTTGGACACCATTACCTCCACACATTGTACTTTTTTTTTTTTAGCAGAATATTCACTCTGCGTAGCCTCACAATATTTATTACTGTCATTTAATATATAGTAGAACCTTATCATTGCCATAGTCCCAAGTTTTCAATTCTACAAATATTTCTATGACAAGGTGCAATAATAAGGTTAATATTTGTTGTTCAATTTTTTGTAGGTGTACAACATATGGAATGATGGAATAAAATGGGTTAACAGGAATAATAGTGATGTAATTACATGTATATGACTTAATGTGCTTCTTAGATAGTCAAAATTCTATTTGCCTTACTGCTTGAAAAAAAAAGACCTAATATTTGACAAGTATCCAAGACAGTGTCCATGAACTTTTAAGAATAAAACATCTTATAGATGATTGATTGCTACCATTTTTTTGGTTGAATTTGATTATGAATTCTTAGTGAGTAACTGCTTCCATGAGTACTCACTATACTATTTTTACAAGAACTGAGAATTAGGAAATTGCTCCCACTGACATAAAGCATGTTGCAACTTCAAACCCAAATACACAAAATCCTAGAAATTCTGGCAAAAGGACTATGAGTCCCTTATTAACTAACTGGGATTTTAAAACATAGCTTCCTCTAGAGAGTAAATTGAGCAAATAGCTTTCACAAAATGTTTTACTTTGAATCATTTTGGTTTCAAAAAACCCACAGTATTAGTAAGTCAAACTAGAAGTTATTTTCTTTGGAACAGAATGTCCTTTCAGAATAGTTTTAAACTTTTGCCCAATTTAAATCAGAGACCAGACTAATGAATACTATGACCAGGGATTATGCCATAGAAAAAAAATATACTAGTGATTAATGTTAGACCACAAGCTGGTCTCGGTCACAATATGGCTATGTACAAGATGGTTTCT